TAACCATTTACCGAAGCGAGCATACTACCTTCCTTCGAAGGCGTCACTGGATAACCATTTCAGGGCTGGCTCTTGCAACATGTACCAAAAGATGCAAGCTTCAGATCAGGTAGAATACAGCACCAAATAGAAACAGCTAACGGCTCTCTCCACCTCAGTGTGGCACTAGGCCAATGGCTCACTAAAGGCAGAGTCCCTACAGCAACAGCAAAGAGAAATACCAGCCACTTGTGCCGACGTGGGCATGCCCATATCTCGCCGCTCACAAGTTCCCTAAAAACAAGCTGACAGCATTCCTCATTCTAGTGTGCACTGAGCCAAAGGCGCACCAAAATGAGGTCCCTAAAGTTCATCAGGTCCCTTAGATACTTGATTGGGAACAGGATCCAGGACACAGGTAGTGAGAATGGCAACCCAAGGATCATCTGATTCAGGAACCTCCTCCAGATCTCTTGGTTCTTCATGATCAGGATAGGCGAGCTCTTCCGGGGGGTGGTATGGCCTCAGATGATTCAGATGAGCCCTTAAAACTTGACCTGACTCAAGGTGTTGCACCTCAAAAGAGACCGGACCAAACCGCTTGCACACCCGAGCAGGGCCACGCCATTTTGGCCCCAAAGGACGAGGCACCATCTCCTTGTACCAGACGAGTTGTCCTTCTTCTGGTGTAAACTTGCCTCTGGCTCTCCGGTTGTAACTTTACCATAGACCTGTTGAGCATCCTTTGAAGCAGCAACAGCGGCACGGCGAGCAGTTCTCAAGCGTTGCTGAAGTTGTCATTTTCCCCGAATATTATTTCATTGGTTAAACCCACTGGAAAGTAAGCATGGCGTCCAGTAAGTAGGTAGAGTGGCTGTTCCCCCGTAGATCTATGAATTGCAGAGTTCAGAGCAAGGCGAAGCTCTGGAATGTACTTGTGCCAGTCTCGGTGATGATCTCCGACGACAGAACTTAGGGCAGCCTTGACGACACGGTTTGTCCTTTCTACCAGACCATTTGCTTGAGGGTGATACCTGATAGTGAAGTGGTGGGTTGTTCGTAGGATCTCCACTAACTCAGCAAAGACGTGAGCAATGAACTGTCTGCCATTGTCTGATTGAATGACTCGAGGTGGTCCGAAATACGTCACCCAGTTGTCCAAGAAAGCACGATGAACTCTTGAAGCTGTAATGTCCTTAAGTGGAATGACCTGTATGTATCGGCTATGCTGGTCAATAATTGTTAGAGCCCATCTTAGTGGGGCTTGACCGAGGTCCATAATGTCCATAGATATTCGCTCTAGAGGTAAAGTGCTAGAGGGGCTTCTGCCATGGGTACTCTCTGGGCAACTCCATGTGCTTGCTGGCAGGAAAGGCAATGTTGAACGTACTGACGAGTATCCTGGAGCATGTTTGGCCAATAGTACATGTTGCACAAGTTGTGGTATGTCTTGTGTATCCCGGGGTGCATTGCAAGATGGCTCATGGGCTGACTTCAGAGCTGATCCATGTAGGCTTTCTGGAACACATAGTTGATATATGACTTTATCGGGCAGATGCCGTAGTCGGTAGAGGACTCCTTCTTTAAGCTCAAAGTCTGAGAGAGGTGGGCAGTTTGCGCTTTGGCACAGTTCCATCACGCAGGTATGAAATCAAGCTTTGCAGTTTCGGGTCTTTACTCTGCTCCAATGCTAAGTCCTGAGGAGACATATGGTTGACATCTGTCACGGCCACTTGCCTGGACAACAGATCGGGAACATGATTTGTGGGGCCTTCCTTATACCGGATCTCAAAATCATAAAAGGAGAGGTCATGTGCAAACCTGGTCATTCTTGGTGACTTCGTACGATGTTTAAAAATGTAGACCAAAGGACGATGATCGGTTAGGATGAGGAATTTGCGTCCATACAGGTAAGAATCAAAGACGCGAACGCCTTCGACAACTGCTAGAGCCTCACAGTCAACAGCAGGATAGCGTGTTTCAGAGTCCCGCAACTTCCTACTGTAGTAGGCCACAGCATGAGGTGTCCCATCGTCATCTCGCTGAATAAGAGCTGCTCCCACGGCGATGCTGCTGGCGTCTGTATGAAGCTCAAAAGACCGCGAAAAATCAGGCTGCTTGAGGACAGGAGCAGACACCAGGTGCTCCTTGAGTTTTGAAGGCTTCTTGTTGCTCTTTCCCCCACTCCCAATGTTGTCCTTTCTTCAGTAAAAGATGTAGGGGTGCTGCAAGTGTGGCATAGCCCTGGATGTGCTTACGGAAAAAAACCAGTGGCACCAAGGAACCGACGGACCTCCTTGATGGTACGTGGAACAGGAGTGTCCAAGATTGCTGAAACCTTGTCATGGTCTGGGTGGACACCTTCAGGTGAAATGGTAAAACCCAGGAAGTTGATGGTAGTGGCTGCAAAAGCACTTTTCTCAGGATTTAGCTTCATCCCAGCTGCAGAAAGTAGGTGGAGAGTCTCTTGCAAGTCCTTTACGTGCTGTGGAAAGCCCTTAGAATAGACCACAATGTCGTCCAAGTAAGCAAGGGTATGGCGTCCCAGGACAGAAGAAAGCACAAGGTTCATTGTTCTTTGAAAGGTGGTGGGTGCAGTGCTAAGACCGAAGGGTAGCCTGCAGAATTGAAAGAGTCTATACCCATCACTAAAGGCAGTCTTGGGTCTGTCGCAGGATGGACATCCACACTCCAATATGCTGATCTGGCATCTAGGGTCGTGAAGGTATCAGTAGGGCCAAGTTCATCTATGAGCTCCTCAATGCGTGGTAGAGGGTAAGTGTCAGCAGTGGTGACAGCATTCAGGTTGCGATAGTCTATGCAAAATCGCAGAGACCCACACTTTTTCTTTACAAGAACCACTGGACTGAGCCATGGTGACGTTGATGGTTCTATAATACCGTTCTGGAGCATGGAATTGCACTGTTGTTTAATGATTTCCCTGGTAGCCTGTGGGAGACGCCATTGACGGGTGCACACAGGTGAAGCATCTCCTGTGTTGATTCGGTGCTGGATCCCTGGAACATGTCCGACTGCCTCATCTCCTCCATCAAAAAGATCCTGGTAGCGACTAAGCAATGTCTGTAATTCCTGGCGCTGGGATTCTTCTAGATGTTGGAGATCTGGCATGTTCGTTGACTCCACTGAAGGCTGAGGGGCCAATCCTTCAACAGCATTGACTGCAGCAAGGGCTATTGAGGGTGGCAGTTCTTGGTTAAGGAGTGCGAAGTCATCTTCATATCCAAAGTCTTCTAGGCCATAGGTCTGGTCGAACAGGTCTTCTTCCCATGCAAAATCCTCTGCTTCTTCACCATCTTCCCAGGCATCCAACTCGATGGGGTTCGTGTCCTCAGCGACATTGGTATCTGGGGTTACTGGCACTGATGTAGAAGAAAAGACTGCCTCAACTGGAAGCACTGTCCCCAGCCGCGTCCCCTGTGACAGTCGTACTGGCCTCGCTGTAGGGTTGACTGCCCACACAGAGCAACGGCGTCCTGAGGCTGTGGTGACTAAGTAGGGTGACACCCAAGCTGGTGACTCTTGAGGCATAAGGAGGAGAGTTCCATCATTAGGGCCTGATCGCTCTATAATACCTTCCAAGAAGCGCCCTGTATGTGGCGGGAGCTCCGAGGCCTGTTGAAGGTGTACTATGGCGGGTGAATCCGTCTTGTCCAGGACTTCAGGTAAGGAGTCAGATGTATCTGCTTCTTCTGGAGACTTGAAATGAACCACACATAGTTGCAGGGAAGGAGAGTCTGTATAAGTCACCGAGAAAGTTCGTCCTTCCAACTTGAGAGAAGCAAAGTTGTCTTGGGGTCTCGAGGAAAAGCTAAAGGAAATCCTCCGTAGGAAGTCCATCCCAAGGAGCACATCACCAGGAAACTGGACATCACAAACAGCGGTTCGATGGCGTATCGATGTGTCACTGTCGAGAGAGAAGGTCAGCGTAACATCATAGGAAGCGTCAAATGGCTGACCAGACACGCCACGAAGATGACGGGTGGCTTCCTTCCGATGTAAGTGTCCCTCAGGTCTACCAGACGGAGGGCCCTAGGCTTCATGATGGTTACTTCCGAACCAGTATCAATGAAGCACAAAGTGGTGGCTCCATTAATACTGAGTTCCACGAGTGGTCGTCCGATTGGCCCTGGAGTTGTCATTGTGGCGATCGACTTCTTGGCTAGTGTGGCTGGTACTCTGCATGCTCCCTGCCCCGACTCTGCCAGGGGCTGTGGGAGCACCTTCACCCTGGCTCTGTTGAAAGGGGCACTCTTTAGCCAGGTGGCCAGGTCTCCTGCACTGGAAGCACAGGCGCCGTGGAGGAGAATTCGGTGCTGAAGAAGCTACAGCACGGCATTCTGATGTGTTATGCGTCGGAACCCTATGGTACGAACACCACTTCCCTTGGGCAGTAACTGGAAAGATCGAATGCATGGCTGGAGCTTCGGCAGATACTGGTAGAGCATAGTGGTCACGCCCACGTGGTGGTCGCTCTGGAAACTGGCCTGAAGACATTGAGGAGTGGTCGCCATGGTGGATGCCGTTGCGTGAGTTCCAGATGCGTTGGGCGGTCTCGGCAAGCTGAGTAGGATTTCCATCTTCCCTCACTGCAAGGAAATCGCGGAGCCATGCAGGAATGCCACTCAAAAATACCCTTCTCACAAGCTCTGCAGGATCGCCTATGGCATCACGGTGGTCTCGGTACCCTTGGTACACGCTCCCTTCGAGTTGCAGGTAGTAATCCATGGGTGCTTGGCCTGGCAGCATTCGATTCTCATAGAGCACCTTGAAGAAGTCCGAGGAGGTGTAGGTGCCCCGGAACTTACTTCTTAGAGCTGCCTTGAATGCTTCCCACTCATTAATATTATCAAACAATGGTGAGTTAATAATGAGCTCTGCTGGTCCCCTGCAGTTGGCTCTGGCTGCCTGGATATACGCCTCTGATGTTGGTGGTTTGACAATATTTTCAACTGCCCTGATCCAGCCCTCAATTTCCTGATTCCTTTTCAATGGTTGGGAGGCTGAAACATCTCCTTTAAAGTGAGGTACCTTCTCTTTTGTGAAGACATAGGAGACTGGCGGGTTGCTGGAGCATGAGGCATGGAAGCCATTCGCAGGTGAACAATTATAGCACCGGGTAGAAAGGTCCCTCGGCTGTGATGGGTAGGGAATCCTTTCCGGCAGTGACCGATACGGTGGATATGGCAGGGTGGTCTGTTGTGACTGCGACTGAGGAGGTAAAGGACGGTCCACAGGTTCCGGAGTTTGAGGTCGGCTGCGAGGACGAGGCTGAGGAGGCACAGGAGGTGGGCGAATGGTGTCCCCAACCTGTGAAGTACGAGGGGAGACATGGGAGAGACGAGAGCTTGCCAGTTCCCCCTCAAGTTCTTGTAATCTCCTTCGGAGCTGACGAATCTCATCCCTCTCAGTTACCTGAAGTGGAGCGGCGTCTGTAGGTGCTGCATCACGAACACTTTGGGAGTGACGAGCTTCCTCCAGTTCAGTCCTTTGTTGGTGGAGTTGGCGGCGTAACTGCTGGATCTCTTCTTCCCTCTGTACCACTAATGCTTGCTGTTGGTCATCGCGCTCCGCACGATCCTCAGGCTGCCTCTGTTCCCTGAGCATCTCCTCTTGTCGCTGGAGTCGGTTTTCAAGTCGGTCATTTTGTTCCTTGCATCCTTGAACTTCTGCAATTAAGGCGTTGACCCGCTCCATGATCTGGCTGAACATATCCACCTCAGCTTCCATGACCCTTACTGCTTCACGTACGTCTGGGTTAGAGCCCCCTGTGACTACGGGGAGTTGGTGGAGCTCGGATGATGCTTGACTGGGAGATGGGTCACGTGAGGTAGGTTGGCTGCTGGACTGCAGGTTCCGTCGGCGCTGAAACCTCTCGTTCCGTTTCTGTCTCTCTTGGTCTCGATTCATGCCAGGAATCACACTAAACAATCAGATGAAATGAAACCCCAACAAAAATCACGACCGCTCAGCAAGACCACAAACGACAGACACAAACACCGAGTAAGAAGCGAGCGTCGGACATCGGAGTAATGCTGTCAGGGTAGAGTGGGTTAACACACAGGAAGAGTAAATCAAAGAGTCCCTAAGCTACGTGAGCCATAAAATCTAACTGGGCAAGCCGGCGATTAATTAAGAACATAAAACAAGCTGAAAAAAATAATTAAGAACTGAAAAAAAATGGGTGCCAGGCTTTTGACAAACTACAAAAGCAAATCTACCCTGCAAAACGAAAAATAAAAGCACGACTACACAGTAAAATAATGGATAGGCGAAACAGTAAACGCGATGGAGTAAAATAAGTAACCGCAGTAAAAGAAAGCTGAAGTAGATAAAGAGAACGAACACATTGAAAAGGGATAATCACCATAAAAAGAACTAAAGAAAAAGCTGAGAAAAGACCATCAAAAAGGCTACTAACTGAAATGCATACTCAAAAGCACATCAGTACGTGAAAACTAAAGAGAACAAGAGAAAACGAACAAAAGCACCTACGTAACGTGTGAAGACGAACATTCAATGAAGTAAAGGCACGAAGCCAAAAAGACAGCAGAACAAATAAACTAGACTGAATTCATACCATAAAAAAGTACGGCAAAATGGACGTTCAAGCAGGTAGAAGAATGATAAAAACAAACAGTTAATAGACCACTAAAATAAATGAAAGTAAAATGAGTAAAAAAACGCAATAAAAGAACGCACAACTAGCTAAGAGCGCGGAAAATAAAAGCAATAAAGGACGGTCAGAGAACACAGCAAGACGACCGAAAATAAAAATAGAGTAAAAGAGAAGTGCTTATGCAGTAAAACGCACAAAAAAATAGTAAAAGGAGCAGTAAAAGAAATCCACCAAGGACAAAACCAGGTAAGACCAGAGAAGCGTAAAAGCAACAAAGCACAGGAATTAAAGTAAAAGCAGTAAAAAGATACAGTATGACGAAACACAGTAACAGAACACACAAAAAGGAACAGTTAAATAAAATCAATAGGCTCACTTAGCTACTATTCACCATGCATGATATAACCTATAGAAAATAGCTATACTGGACGTCTCAGCGTCAAGGAGTGATGCTAGAGTACGTAATCACGCACTAATTAGTCCCACCGAATGCCGCCAAATTAACTGTGAGGTATTCTTTGCTCTGTGGGCATTAGTATGTGTCTGTGTGTATGTGTGTGGGTTCACCGTGGCTAGATGCTGTGTAGTGGTAGCGTGAAGCATCTAGGCACACAAAAAAGACCGAGCATAACCATCACTCCTTCACGTTCAGCCTATGGGGTTTGTTCGTATGAACTAGTTCCTTTAATCATAAAGACAATGCAGTGAATGAATGCACCGTAAATCATGGGAAAACAAAGCTTTAGTTAAACTTAAAACTTGAAAACAAAAGATAAAGTTGATAATCACTTGATTGATTGCTTAAATTATTGATTAAGATGACGCTTATAATTAAGATTAGTGTATCTCATGATCACTTAAATAAAAGAAAAGGATCACGTCCAGCTCCTCAGAAAAAAAGACACACGTCAGAACACAGAACTTAACTTCTTTGTTTCGGGGGCGGGGCCGCCTCGCACAGGGGGTAGTAACACACAGGGTATCTGGTCCAGACTGAGTATATTTCGCGCCGTTTTTTGGCGATACTTATAGCGTTCGTGACGTCACGAACTACGTCACGAACCATACATTTTTCGTATTTATTTTACATTCGTGTTCAGCTTTCAGTTTAAAAACATATGTTGTAAAAAGATCAGAAGAAAAGATAAAAATTAGTCTTAAGTTGAAATAAAATAAAAATACTGAACAAAAAGTAAATATAAAAGTATATGAGTAGCGTAAAATGCTCGAAAAATAATAAAAGTTAAATACAATACCTAAAAAAAAATTAAGTTAAAAAGGAAATAAAGTACATAGACTTTCAAATCATAAGGCAAGGCAAATAAGATGACTAGGTAAAATCGAAAGAAAAAGAAAACAACTATAAAAAGGGGAAACTCAACTAAAAGGGTAAAAACAATAGAACGAAATAAAATGCCAAACAAAAAGACGAGACCCCCCAAAAGAAGAGCAGGGGCGAGCGAGCAGAGTCCGGACGCGGCCGAAAGACGGAATGAGTGGCGAGATCCAACCATCTTGGAAACCCGAGTTCCGGAGGACTGAGATGCCACCTTACAATAACAAATCCTAATATGGAAGTTACACTGACTGTAACAGGAAAAATGCATACAAAACGGACGAGACAAAAGACTCGACCTGTTTTTATATTCCAGTTTTCAGTGACCTTCCTTTATTCACTTGTCTGCCATTTCCAGTGGTAAAGTTCTGCCAATTACATCTGAATGCATGTGTTTAGTCCTCTCCCAAGTTTCTGTGAACCACCAGTTTAAAGCCAAAGATGAATCAAGCGCTTTATACTTAACGCAGAGAGTGAATCGAAGGAGTGGTTGTTCTGTACGTTCCTCACTTAGAGATGAAGGAAATTTTCTATGACAGAAAAATTGCTTTTGAAAAATTGATGCTTTTGAATAGAAGTATACCTATTCATCTATTTATCTTATATATAACCGTTTGCGTGTGCATGTATATGTATACATATATCTGTAAATATATAATATATATATATATATATATATATATATATATATATATATATATATGTGTGTGTGTGTGTGTGTGTTGTGTGTGTGTGTGTGTGTGTGTGTGTGTGTGTGTGTGTGTGTGTGTTTTACAAATGTGTTACCATACACACACACACACACACACACATATATGTATATGTGTGTCTGGGTCTTTGTGTGTGTGTGTTTGTATACACACATACACACACACACACATACACATACACATACACATACACATACACATACACATACACATACACATACACATACACATACACATACACATACACATACACATACACACACACACATATATATATATATATATATATATATATATATATTACACATACATACATACATACATACTGTGGTAGGTTCTTTTAACAATCTCCACTTCTTTGATCCTTCATTTTCTTCAGCATTATCAAGGTCGGGTAAAATAAACAGATTTTCATGAATGGTCATGTATCTACAAAGATTTATACAACAATAAAAGAAAATGCGTTTCTATAGTGGTCACTCCCTTTTCACGAATTGTAGAAAACTCTTTTTTTGAAAAGAGTGGGCACTGTTACAGCGACTCTTTTTGTTCACTTGCTGTAGCTCGTTCTCAGAACTTGCAATATACAATAAAAACTGAAAGAATTATGCAAAATAAGTATTATTTCAACATTTACAATACGAATAATATGATTGTATGAGTATACTAGAAAATAAAAGTTCCTTCTAACGGAAGTTTCAGGACTCACGAGAATGCAGGTGAGCACCGTGCTCTACGGGTGAAAAGGCACGCTTACTTTGCGTGATCCCCGACATTGCTTTGTCTTTGCTTCAGGGCGTTCGTGTAAAGAAAAGGGAGATGCTTACAAATCTCTTTAAACTCAAATAACCTTTTTATTTTCAATTATAATAATTATGTATACACATAGGTTACATAAAATCAATATGAATGAATATTAGACCAATCCATGACACATAATACATATATATATATATATATAATATATATATATATGTATGTATATATATATATATGTTGTAGCGGGGCGTAGACCCAGTAGACTTTAAGTGGTCTGGTTGAGTCCTGGCTCAACCGAGAATATTGAGTTCTTTGCTCAAGGAAAGATTCGTCTGCAGTGAACAGATGTAAGGTTCCAGGCCTACGGCACGCTGCCACCACCCGATTAGTAGGTTCGGGAACCGTGTGTGTGTTGTGTAAGTGGGTGTGGGCGTTGTATCAGAGAAGGGTGGAAGGAAAGTACAGGATGTGTGTACTGAATGTTGGATGTGTAAGTGTGTAGATGTGAAAAGGGAGATAGCGTAGGCTGAGCGTCTGCGTGGACGTGTTTGGAAGAAAAAAGCAAGATCATAGAATTCTTCTTCCCTTCGGTTTGAGCATCCGCCTGCTGGGAGCGGGAACACAGGTATAGCTAAATGAATCTGTTCTTTTGATATCAGCTTAATATTCTCTGATTTATCTAGCCTTTTTACAGCCTTTCAAGGGTTGCGTGATGTCAGAGCAACCAGCGATGTGCTGTTTAGGAGACCCGAGTCCGAGAAAGATTTAGGCATCTAACCTTGGTCAGAACCAGAACTTTAGTGGTGGTATAAATTATTCTGACTGGAGTTGAGTAAAAGCTCTAAGATGGTACGATGTTTATTTAGAGAGCAAGTTACACTCACTAGGGAATTACAGGCATTTTCAGTCATGAAAAGTAGACAAAGGTGTGTGCATCACCAATTTATCACAGCGGCGGTGATGCACGAGAAATTAACACCAGATAAACTTACCACGATATAAAAAAATGTCTTCCTTAAGTTGGCGTCCCAACTCCAGAAGTACTGTTATTAGGGGGTCAGCATAAAAACATCCAAGTCCCTAAATTACGTTAAATTGTTAACATCCAACCCAAATGGATGTTAACTGTTAAATCAAAGCTAATCCTGACGGATACCTAGTAAGAGTATTTGTGTGCAAAAGAATTAAGAAATGAATAATAAGAAGGCTGAAAAAGTCAAGGAAGGGACTATTCACGAAGACTGCCTGAACACCCACAAGGTCAGACAGGAATCAGCCGAAACAACAAACAAAAAATCAAGTATCATGTGATACTAAGGGCTCGTTATCAGGAGATACGGAGCAACAAAAGTCTGTGATCACCCACAAGGTCAGGCAGAAATCAACAGAAACATATCAAACAAAATATGTAAAAAGATCCTGATAACGATCTTTTATCCCCGGAGGTACGGATCCTCAAGCAGGGGCGAAAGGAAACATTAACATTAACTTTAAAAAAATATATGTACAGGAGGTATGACTCCTCAAGTACGAATGAAATAAAACTAAGTAATAAGGAAGAGACACACTGGAGGTGTAATCACAGAGACTGCTTAATCACCCACGCGATCAAGTAGAAATCAACAAACACGCATTAAGCGAAACAAAACAATTAACGATAAAGTACGTAATGGTACTAAACAAGATTTTTATTCCAGGAGGTACGGATCCTCAGGCAGGAATGAAAAGAAACTAAGTAATAACTCCTAGTTATAAAAATACACTGGAGGTACGGATCCTCAAGCAGTGTTCCTTTAAATCACTTGGTCCTAATGCTCTCAAATACTGGGAAATACGCAAAAGTGTTATGGGACTTCACGAAAGAGTGCACCCTGCAGATGATAATGCAGCATGTCACGCTAAAGTCCAAAAGAGACCAGTCGTCTCCTACACACAACCAGCAACCACTTAGCTTTGAGGAGATACTCAGTAATCCTGGTAAATCCGTGCGCGAAGTATATCCAAGGGTAAATCCGAGCGAGAGCACAACACAGGTAAAATTGTAACCGCGAAGGACCAAAGTGCGGGACAGAGGTCAGGACCGAAGTTATCTTCCTTCCCCCTACCACGAGTACATATACCCCGAAAGAAACCCCCAGGCCAAGCCCCAGGCATGGCGCGAAAGGAGAATATAGGCAAAAGAGGTGCCTGAAGACCAAGCCGATAGTTGGACAATCCAAACAACCGAGACGAGAGAGGGAAGGGGAAAAACAAAAAAGAAGCAGGGTAACGACCGTCACCTCCTTCGGTGGTTATCGCGAGAATTTGGAGACGTCGACAAGAGGAAAGAATATTAGAAAAAGATAAATACAGGAAAGAATACGGAGAAAATCCGATAACAAACCGTTATAGTAAAAACTGTGCATATCGGCCATTACATATTTACAATATTCAGGTTTAACAATAAATAGTTTGGCTTGGCGACTTCAACTGGAGATGACATCATCCTACGAGTCGGGACGTACGCAGCCGTACACTACATATGTAAATATATATATATATATATATATATATATATATATATATATTATATATATTATATATATATATATATATATATATATATATATAATTATATAATATATATATATAATATATATATATATATATATGTATGTATGTATGTATGTATGTATGTATATATAATTAATCCTACCATTATTACCATCTATCTATTTATCTATTTCTGTTGTTGTTTTTTGTTATTTTATCAATTTTACTGTTCAAGCAGGTTCTGAAGAGGACAAATGAATGATCAGCAAATATCTTCTGCCACCCGAGATAGCGACCGATCCCGACCAACTCTAATGCAAGATCCCTGTTGCAGAATCTAATTGCAAGCTCTTAGCTAAGTGCTGACCGAGCTAAGATCTTTAAGAATCTTAAAGATGTTGGCAGTATACCGAGTGTCTGAAACAGTAAGAGTGTTGGAGGAAGAAAAAAATAATGAGAATGTAAAGTAGAGAGGAGGAAGAGGAATTAAGTATGTGGGAGAGAGAGAGAGAGAGATGAAGGGGGAAGAGAGAGAGAGAGAGGGGGGGAGGGAGAGAGAGAGAGAAATGAAGGGGGAGAAAGAGAGAGAGAGAGATGAAGGGGGGAGAGAGAGAGAGAGAGAGACGAAGGGAAGAGAGAGAGGGAGGAGAGAGAGAGAGAGAGAGATGAAGGGGGAGAAAGAGAGAGAGAGAGATGAAGGAGGAGAAAGAGAGAGAGATGAAGGGAGAGGAAGAAGGAGGGATGACGAAAGAAAGGTGAGGAGGAAGAGTGAGGAATAGAGAGAGGAGGGAGAGGTGGGACGAGAGAGAGAGAGAGAGAGAGAGAGAGAGAGGGGGGGGGAGTGAGTGAGAGAGAGGGGGAGGAGATGAGGGAAGAGAAAGAAAGAGAGAGATGAGGAAGGGGGGAGAGAAAGATAAGGGAGTAGGGAGGAGGAGGAAGAGAGAGAGATGGAGATTGAGCGAAAGTGAGAGAGAGAGACGGAGAGAAAATGAGAGAGATAGACTATGAAAGACAGAAAGGGGAAGAAGGTAAAGAGAAAGAGAATTAGATATGTGGAGAGGAATGGCGAGACAAAGATAGGCATTTAAATCAGCTGTTATGCCCTTTTGAATTGCCGTTTGGCTACTAAAAGTAACACAGATATATTGCAATCTTAGGCCGTTAAAGGCAGGAGAAAGCAATGTTCAACTTTTTTGCCTTTTCATAAATACTTTATAAATGTAATAGGTATTAGCTTGCTTGGTAAGCAGAATGAAAATGGTTTTGAAATTTAGAAAATGATGAAATATTTGGGAGCTTCCAGAAAAACAATAGAAAAAATGGAATGAGCCTCAGTTCATTACGTAATTTATATATTTATTTAGTCTTTGCTCAGTGATGTTTATAACAATTTGATCTTGCATGAATGAATTCACAGTTGCTAATGATTATTGTGTATTCATAGTGCATGAAAGCAGCCTGTAAAGATGTTTTTTACCGACATTGTCAGAATTATTTTTTTTCTTGTATGTGTGTTCGTGCGTGTGCGTGTGTGTGTGTGTGTATGTGTGTGTGTGTGTGTGTGTGTGTGTGTGTGTGCGTGAGTGAGTGTGTGTGTGTATGAGTGAAATGTAATAAGAGAATAAAAATGTGTTTTTTTATGTCAGGACGCGTAGAATGCATTTTCGACATCTATATAAAATATTTTCCGTGGGCGAGAAAAGATGAATAAAGATCCGGGAGAATGGAGCGACACTGAGGGAGGGAAGGAGGGAGAGTGAGAGACTGACAGCCAGAGGCAGATAGACAGAGAGAGAGGACGAGAGACAGAAAGGCAGACAGATAGACAACCACAGGCAGACAGAATCCATCAATATCTGTTGAATAGTATCCAGTCCCTTGGGATTTACCTAGACACT